AGGCAAGATTGTCGGCAGTGTTTTTTGTTTGGGGAATTAAATTTTTTATGTATAACTTGTTTTTTAACGGGTTGCATTCTACCAAGAGTTAATTGGTCTGTTTTTCAGGAAGAAGCTCATCATAAAACAAACCTCAGCATAATTGCAGGCAGAAAACATCTCAAGCACACCACCCTTCAGTTAGATAACTAAAAATGCTTTCTGTTCCTACCTTTTGTTAGTGTGATTTGAATTTATTTTTTTTAGAATGCAGGTAATGACATCAGGTTTCTTCCTACTGTAGCAACCTAAAAGAGAAGAGGGAAAGGGAAGCAATGGTCTAGAAAGGCAGTATTTGTCAATTTGTGTAATAGTTACAAGTAGTACTTCAGGTTACTGCCTCTGAAAAGGTACCCAGAGAAAACAGCAATAGGAGAGTGACTTCTGTGTTTTTAATAGGACAGAGCATTTACACAGCTGTAGTACGTGAAAGGCCTAACTCCTTTACAATTGTCAAGCCTTGAAACACTGTTGTGTGGGAATGACTGTCAGGTGGTGAGTGGCCATATTTGCAGACAAAAATGCAATGAGCATTCAGTGACGGAGTTAGCTAGAAGCTTAAAATAAATTCTTGAAAATTGCTTCAGCTCTTTCTGTTATGTTAGTTACATGGTGTGTATTCACAGAAAGGATACTGCTGCTGTTGAGGTGTTACCACTGTGTGTGTTAAGATGTGATTCACCCCCAAGCAAGTTTGTTTTTGCAGTCCCTGATCAGCTGAGAGGCATGGTGAGACTTTTGGCATGGTGACTGGAATCTTCCATTTCAGGTGTGAACCAAAACTCAGCAGTGTTCATGTTGATGGTTAGAATTTTCATGAGACTTTTGCAATACCAGTGAATAAAAAATTCAAGTTATTTTAGTTGAGAAAATGTCAAAATGTTGTCATCTCCCTTATTCCACTGGAGGTTATGGACACAGAAGGTGAAACGTTTGCTGCTTCAGCCTTTGAACTAGTATTCTGATACAGCCAACCTTTGGTAATACCATTAATGTGCTAGATTCAGCTGTAGTTCAGGTGCTTAACTTTGCTGCAAGTAGTGTTCAGCAGATCAGCTGATATTTGGGGATAACATTTTAAGCTGCTGCAGCTAAGCCCAAGGAAGCTTATTTTTTCAAGGCTGATTTATTTTTTAATTGCGGTTCTGGAAATACCATGGTATTTTAATGCCAATTTTCTTGGGAACTTTAAAAGTAGGGTGTTTGAAAGCCAAGATTTACCAGTATTTGGTCCTACTTTGATTCTCTTGCTACGTTTTTGAAGGAGTCATGGCATTAAGCTTACCTGTGTATAAATCACCTAAAACTGTTAGCAGGACTCCAACCCTGCAGCCAGTTTGTATGAGGTAGACCTAAGCCATTAGAAATGTAGGAATAGATCTTTAAATGAAAACAGAAATTATACAAAATTTTTCACAAGGCAAAATGTTTCACAAAAAATAGCATTTGTTTAGTGTTCAAAATTAGATTAGCAGCACTTAAGAATGTGATAAAGACCTGTACCAGAGCAGAAATGAAGAAAGTAGATGGTGTAAAAGTCAGTCAAATCTGGTAAAGGTGAGAAAGGAAATATAGCAGTAGCAAGCTGCATCCATTAACATGTGGTAGTCAAGGTGGCAGTGGTACTATTTACATCCTTGTTTTTGAAAGGGTTGTTTTATTTTTGGCATGTGTGCTTCCTATTGTACTCCGTATTTCAGAGCTCATAATCTCAATAGAAGGAGACTTATTTTAATGACATTCATTTGGCAGTTGTGATATTAAATCCAGTAAAATATATCAGAGAGGCCCACAGTTCTGTGTAATTTTGAAGGTACTTTTAAAAATGTGATTCCTGTTGGTGGTGTTAGGGTGGAAGGCCAGGTATGGATAAATCCAGCAGGAAAAAATACTGCACTTGTTGATGTTTTTTCTGTTGGGTTAGAAAAGTATGAGCACTTTTACTAGGTATTTCTGCTGCATGTGCTGGTCCAGCTAGATGCTGACTCAAGACTGGCTCATTGCTAGAAGGCCTCAAGGCTGCCAGTGCTTCATTTGTTTCCTGCTATGCATTTGTTTGGCCTAAAATTGTTTTCCTGCTTTTCCTGTCTTTTGCAGCTGTTTTTAGTATAAATACTAGCTTTGATACTTCAGGAAAATACTGTGGCTTCCTTGAGTGGGTGTAAACTGACTACTTCAGAAGGTAGGGAGGAGGAGATGTGGTTGCATCACTGCTCTGAAATTCGGGACCTACTGGCAGCAGTCACACCTGTGTCCCAGGCTTCCTGTGGGCAGCACTGTCTGTCATCTGTTAAGTGAGGTGCTTATCTTTTTCTTGACAGTACTGAAGTATGGGTGAGGGATACTGTAGAAATGCAAGTTTTCCATGTTAAATGAGATGGGCAGGTTTTTGTAATGTGCATGGGAAGTAAGCAAAAGGCAGTCTGGAATTGCTGTTCATTTAACAGCTGGTTTAAAAATTACACATCTTAAAATATTTTAGTAAATATCTCACCTTTAAATATATAGGGAGACAAAGGCATGCTGTTAGGTGGTATGAGTACTTAACTACAAAGAGTTTGAAGTGATTGGTTAGAAAATGATATATACAGCACTGCAGATTTGCAAACACTTTACAAAGTAGAACTTAGCCAAAACTGATTTACAGAAGGGCATGTGAAATTTATTACACAGGAGAGTTTGGTAGAGATGCAGGGAGGAAGACCTGTGAATGTAAACACTCGCATTTTAGCTCAGTAGGAATGCAGTTTATGATGTAAATATGGGTGGAGATTTCATGTGGTATATTTATGTCTGGGAGACAGTCCAGTGTGAGAGAATTTCATCATCTCTCCATGTATGCCTTCTAGCAGTTGGCTGGACAGGTAGGCAGTCCTTGAAGAATCTTAACTCAGCTTGCCTTGTCATATTAATGCACTCAAAATTAGTTGAAGATCAACTTAGCTATCTGACCTCTTCAGAAACTTAATGTGTTTTTTGCATTAAAATGATTGATTTCTGTATCGAAACAAGTCTTTGGAGCACATAAGCATGTTGCATTTGTATTTATTCTTCAAGGTAATGGCAGCACATCAATTGATGTGAAATCAGTTGCTGTCATTCTGCATACTGATGCCGTTTGAGGGGTGAATATGTACAGCCAGCTCTGGCCGTGTTCTACATGGGGAATGCTACGGCTTTTTAAAGACTTAACTTGAGGAATTGTATCAGTGCATGAAACACTTGCATTAACAGGTATTGTCCTGAGCAGACTATCTGTCTCAGTGCTATGTTTCTAGAAGTGGTCAGTGCTTGCCATTTCAGCAAAAGGATATGAAACCTTTATTATATATTTACTATGACTGTATTGTATACAGAGAGGAGGGACATTCCTTCCTTGTCTCGTGAGCTCTGTTGGGAGCTGTGAAGTTTACTGAGTTTTCAATGTCTAATCTGAGGTTTTATGCATTGTTTACTGAATCTGCATTGCATTTAGCTATACTGCTTGGTCTGCCATAATGTAGCACAGTCAGCTTTTAAAAAGAAAGTTTTTTTATTATGGCTTCTAAATGTAGTACTACTTTAGTTCTAACTTTAATCTTCTGGTTTCTTTGAGTCTCTCCTTGCTTTCCTCAGAGTTATGAGGTACTTTTGAATGCTCAGGTTGTTCCTGTTCTGGTTTGTCACTGGCACAGTGAATAATCCTGATCTGCTGTTTCCCAACACAACATAATGGGAAGCAGACGCAGGCCTTAATTGAAGCTGTAATTCTGTGTAGGCATTCATCTGAGTTTTCAGTACTCATCCAAACACTGACGTGTTGCTGGCTGTAGTCACTAGTCAGACATCTTGATTCAGTTTTCTGTAGGACTTGTTTTTTGTTTAGCAAGCCAGTGTCAGATGCTTACAAAAATATAATTGGTAAGAGAGATGGTTTGTGTTTTAAAAATGCAAGTGGTATTCTGTTTAATGTATGGTACTGTGCTGCTCTGTACTAACAGTAAATGAAAACTGGCCTTTTATGTAACAAATTGAAACTATTGATGCTTTTCGTTTCCTCAAGTGGGTTTAGCAACTAGATGTGCATCATTCTCATAGCAGCTATGAGTCAGGTCTGTGTGATCTGTGGTAGTAAGCAAGTTCTCAACAGTATTAAATGCTTTCAAGATTTGATTACAAATTGTTTTTTTTTCCCTAAGGAATATAGTTGGATTGGATAAGACAGTTTAATTTGTTACTTTCAAGTAGCTGTAGAACTGGTTTTGCTAAGCCTTGTTTGTTTTCTACTTTGTGTTTTATTTTGTACCTTTAAAGTTTCTTTGGGGTGGCTTGCTTCTGTCATATCCAAAGGTAGATTGTGAGTTTCCTGGAGAACCAGTGCTGTTCAATCTGGAAGGTCACCTACAATGAAAATGTTGAATTGTTTGGCCCATGCATAGTTAAAAATACTTAGTTTTGTGTAAAGAAATGTTGAATTGCTTTAGATAATGGTAGTGATTCTTTGGGCACAATTGTAACTGTCAGGAAGCTGTCTTGTGTGCTTTATCCTAAAAGGAATAAAACAGTTAACATCCAACCAACCAAAGGATTTGTCTAGGTTTCTGAAGGGTTAAGCCTCAGATTTCTGCTTAACTGTGAAGTAACAGCAGGATGGTTGCCAAGTTCCTCCACCAGTTGTGGAACTTGGTAGATTGAAGAAGAAAGGATGCTGCTTTCTCAGGCTTGCTGTGGATAGCTATGAATACCAACTTAACTTAGCTGGCAGAAATCTTCAGAAAAAGGAGCTTAGAGATCTTGGTTAGCAACCTTTGGGTTGCAAAAAGAAAAGCCATTGCTTTACGTTAAGAAGCGTCTGCATGTTTTTGTGTGTGGAGCAGCCTTGTGAATGAGATTAGGAATCCTGTATCGGCAAAGTCACCCTAGAGTTTAAATTAGCTTTTAGTTAACTGTGATACTTTTAAGAATGTAGAATCCTCTTATAGTGCTACATTAACCAGCACATCTCAGAGTCAGCTTCTCTAAGACAAATACTTTGCAGTTTCCTTAGTTTAATTTATTCCTTTCAGGTATACGTTATTCAGGTCAGTGTTGGCAATCATCAGTGGACAGTCAAACATCGTTACAGTGATTTCCATGACCTGCATGAAAAGGTAAGGATGTTAGAACTGTGGCCTTGGTCTCTTGCGAAACATTGTATGGGACATAAATTCTATCCCAGTAAAGGGCAAGAATATCTGCCAGGTACCATCTGAACTGCAGACTAAATCCTTTTTGTATGAAGAATATTACTTGCCTCTGTAATCTGGGTGAGGTTGGCCTGCATGACTTTAGCCTTAAGAGTGGAGTTCAGGCTAGAGTCATTAAGCGTTTTGCCAAGAGAGATGTTTATGATCAGCTGATTTAGTAAGCAAAAGCTGGATTGGAGCAAAGACTGTCTCTGGGAGGGGTGGATGATGAAACTGTCCTTAGACAGTAGCATGTGGTAGTTACTAACCAGTGCTGATTAAAAAGAGCAAGTGTAAATGAGGGAAAGTCCACTGTATTCAAGACAGGTCTGCTTTTGGAGAAATGTATGAGTTACTTTGTTTTATCACCTTAATTACGTTCTGCCCTGTGGTACCGTGAGTGATTCTTTCAGAAAACATTATTACTGAATTTCTCATCATTTTATAAAAATGTTCTTTCTGAAAATACCTAAGACTTTGAAGTCGATAGCGAAATTTACTGAAGTAATTTTATTTTTGGATCCTACCAAGATCAGGCAGTGTGCTGTTAATGTGTTCTGTTGCATCTTTTATGCAAGCTCAGATGGTGAGTCAGGTAATAACTCTGGTCGTTGTCTTTCAGCTTGTTTCAGAAAAGAAAATAGATAAAAATCTGTTACCTCCCAAGAAGATTATTGGAAAAAATTCCAAAAGCCTGGTGGAGAAAAGACAGAAGGAATTGGAAGTCTACCTGCAAACTCTGCTAGTCAAGTTCCCTGTTACTGCTCCGAAAGTTTTGTCACGCTTCCTACACTTTCATTTATATGTAAGTTATGTTTTTAGCATGTAAA